AGTTGTTTTATGTTATTTAATCTCTCATACATTCTACCGAATCTATGTACAAATATTAGACTTATTTTCTACTTATACAAATATTGTGCACTGTTCTACAACTATGTTCTTGTAATCTTTGTCATTAAGAAATTCGTTAATTGAATAGTCATTTATTTAACAAAATCTCAAATAATTTAGTTTTAAATGACATTATAATTTTTTAGGTCATTTGGAAGCCTATTTAGAATTTTCATAGTGCGATGACTCGGTACAGATAATTTGTTAGAGAATCTACTATTTCTTAATAAAGAAATCAGGGTTTTTGTATACAAAAACCTTAAACACACGGTATAGTTTTTCTAATTTTTAATCAATCAATCAATTATCAACAGCTGGACGACCATCTTCAGATACTATTGCCGGAATTTTATACCTCGCTTTGATATATTCTGGTTTACATTGTTGAAGAAGTCTTGGATTCGCAGTCCGCTGTTAGTAGTTTATTTGATCATTATTTCCTAAACACTTCGGTCTAAGTTTTAAGTGGCTGTGCGCAATTTACTTGTTTTTTGCATTCAGTTCTTAGGTTTGAACACTTTTATGAGCAGCTTTTCGTAACATAAGTCACAGCCGTGTGTCAGCTTAGTGTTTAATCAAAGTAACTATGTTGTGATGCGACAGTTCAATATTATTTACATTCTCAATTGTTCTAATTTTGAAATACTTACCTAATAGGGTAGTTTCTAACCAGTCAAATTCTATACTTTCATCGAAATGTCAAAAACGATACTTTTGTATTCATTTTGTAAGAGATACATACACATTTATGACGTCATCAAATCTTTGCGTTTTGACGCATTTGCCATAAATGCCATAAATGTGTCATAAAATTGCATAAATATTTCTTAAAAATTGAATAGAATAGAACCATTATTTTTGACTGTTCAGAAAAGTCCAAAGAATTTATTTTTTGAGCTAGGAAACGACCAAACAAAACAAAGTTAAAAATATGAACACTAATTGCTTTATACATTTGTTTAATTTTTACTTCACATAGTTTCCTTTTACGGTTACCCTTCTGGATGCACTCTTCCAATCTTTTGTAGCAAAAGATTTTATAACTTTTGAACAAGAATTTTATTGTTAGTGTAATCTCTTGCACGAAGCTGAACACTGAACAGTTTCCTCGTTAGACACAAGGACTGAAGTTTTAATCAGATTTGAGTTAGTGTTCTCTTATTAGGTTGAACGGAACTGGGACGATGTTATACTTGATTCAAAAGTCATTGTTTCACGACTGGTTATACAATAGTCTAACCAGTGTAACCACTATAACCCTAATGTTATACTTTTGTAATCGTAAGTCCTTGTTAGGAGAAAGCTTAACCAATAAAATTTATACAGCTCTAGAGAGTTTTTCAACTGGTATCCATTTGGTCACGCAACCAGCTTATACATTTTGTTGTCCTAAAGCTTTCTCCTAACAATATTATTAATTGATATTTCAATTAGATGTTAGTAGTTCTGTTGGTAGTTATTTCATTAGAAGAATTCTAATGAAATAAATAATAATCTTCTAATGAAATAACTACCAACAGAACTACTAACATCTAATTGAAATATCAATTAATAATATTGTTAGGAGAAAGCTTTAGGACAACCCAAATGCCTACGGTAAGGATAAGAGCAGAGAACAGCTAAATCGCTTATTGCCATTTATGTAGCTTAGTACTACCAACAGAACTAATGAAATAACTACGTAATCATCGATTGAAGCATTACCTACAATTAGCTTTGCTTGTTATTTTTTGCATCTAGATAATATCTACTCAACAAAATCCATTAATGCTTTTTTCTGTGTAAAAATCAAACTGAACTCTCGTTATCTGCATCGATTTTCAGTACTAACCTTACTAAGCTACATAAATGGCAATAAGCGATTTAGCTGTTCTCTGCTCTTGTTTTTACCGTAGGCATTTGGAGAAAGGTTCATAGTTTCTTCTAATAGAGTAAATATTAATAAAAATATTATAGAGTATACCAGTCTACTCATGTAATAGGTCTAGTGTACATAATTATTTTCAAATTATTATAGGTATTCTATGACTACCTAAGCATCAAAATCAGAGTTAAGGGTTAAGAATGAAATAACCCAATGTACCTCTAATACTCCAAATTGGCTTAAAAAATATTGGCCTTTGATTAAATGGATCACACTGATTTGAAATTCAGATTACACGTACCTAACAAATTTCTTAGAATGTTCAATGAACCTTGAACCAGTAAAAGGTACACCTGTAACCGTTATTGAATTCACGTGATATGTGAATGTCAAGTAAGCCATACCTTAAAGCTTGAAAGAAAAAAAACCGAGCGACTTCAACGAAAGCCCAATCCCTCTCCCCTTCCCCAATCTCCCTAATCCCTAAATCCCCAACGATCCTCAAACTCCTAATCCCCAAAAGGCCGGTAACGCACTTGTAACGCCTCTGGTGTCGCGGAGAACCTAACGGGTCGCGAAGAACCTAACGGGTCGCGGAGAACCTAACGGGTCGCGGAGAACCTAACGGGTTACCGGGGCTCCGGCTCGACGTGCAGGAGAAGGAACGGGGTGGTTTTTAGTCAGTAAGCGTCTGACACTCCCTCCGCCTAACCCAGGCGGGAGAAGTCATTCGACGATTTTCCCCCTTAAAAAAACGCCTCTGCTGTTCCAGGTGTCCATAGGCGACGTCAATTGATTACCATCAGGCGATCCGTCTGCTCGTTTACTGGCTTATGCTATAAAAAAAAATATTAAGGGGCGATTTTTTCAATACTCAGTTAAACCATAACCATTAATACTTATTCAACAGTTAACAAAATTCTCGATTCAATAACCAGTTAGGCTTTATTCAACAGTTCAATTCACAGACTATAAGTTATATTTAACTGTCTGTTCAAGCTATAGTAGATATAGTAGATCTAGACGTAGTAACATATTTTATATTTTAGTTGACTTTAGTAATTCTTTCAAAGAGTGATAGTTTACGAATCACCAAGCAACCTGATGGACTGACTGACAGACTATTATTTATTTTGTATTTATTGACGGCTCAAAAGTACCAAATTATGGTTTAATTGAAATAAATGCTATGACTTTGACTTTGAATTGACAGAGAGGATCATATTTAATTTGCCATGAGTATAATTCATTACATGGCTTGGATAGAATTTCAACTTATGTCCGTATTCTACAACAAGATGATAATTATTTAGTTTCCAATAATAAATTACTCGGTGTTCAAACTCTAGACGTCTGACTTTATACTTGCATCTTCTTTATCACAGAAACAGTTTCTCTATGAAACAAAACAAAAATATCAATAACTTTGTATGTAGGTTAGATAAACATCAGTTCAATGCACCCATGTTAAAAATAACTTTCGAATCTAATTCAGATTGTTATTAGTGTTACAAAACCCGACCTCAGACATTTTGGCGAAACAATTTAATAACTAAACGGGTTTCCAAGTATAGGGAGATTAACACGATTTCCTAAATTATGATCTGAGAGTATGCAAGAAACCACGATCAGTGCAAGTTGGTTGAGATAGTAAAGCACAGTTCTTATGTGTGTGTTCACGTTAATTTTTTGACGAGGTTTCTCGACTGATTTCAAGCCACAGCAGGACCCATAATCGTGTACTAACAGTTAAGTGAGTAAGTTGAGCAACAAATTCCTTGTATTAATTTGACTAAAAATAAAGTACTTAGGACATTCATTTAGCTTGTGTTAGCTCTAAGTCACGTTTTACATTGATTGTCAGTTTCTATTATCTACTATATTCCAAATAATTGTGTGAATTTAATAAAAAAAATGTATCTGAAATGAAATAATATACCTAGTAAATCTGTGTAGTGTTGTACATATTTTTTGTTGTGTTAAAATAACAAAATAAATTTAAATCTGTACCATCTGTGCAAATAAATTATTTGATGTGATTTGATTTGATTTGAAAGTAACTCAATGAACGGTTCTAATGTGATTTATCTAATAGGTGATTCATAATAGTTAGTCATTCATAATATAAAACAAGTTTTTAATAGGGTGCACCAGCTGTGTAAGGATTGGAGTTATACTTAATTCGAATCGACTATTTATAATGGAATCGATTTAATCATTCATTTTAATGGTTTTTATTGAACTCGGGGACGCATTTGCAAATTGTCATTTAAAGAACCACTATACAAGGCAAACATTTAATATATTCCCTTAATTTTTAAAAAGTGTACCTAGCGCAATATTTGTATAAATAAATAAATAAAAAATGTTAGAAAAATTTACGTTTAAATATTTCGGGTTTGTTTAAAATATTGTTATCGTCAGCTAACTCAATAGTTAAATAAATGATAAAAAAATAAATATGAATTCGTTCGTGCTATAATCAATTTGATTAGGGACTTAATATAATGAACAGTATCGAATTGTTTAATTATTTATTAATTCTCATTTGTACCTGTCAATCAGAATCTATAAAGATTCGCAATTTTAAGTAAAATAAGTAATTTATTTGTCTATTAGTCCAGCGTTCTTTTGTATATAAAAATATACGTATATATTCATTAGTTAACATAGAATTATCATTTTCAGAACCGTCACTATTGTTCACTGAAACGTGGATAGCTTAAATACAAAATACACATAAATACAGATTTCACAAATAAGACGCTGAAAAATTATTATTCATCAAATTTTTTCGTCGAATAATAGTTATAACTACATCGCTTTTAGATTTTTATTACGGATTTATTTTTATCTAATATGTACCAGATGTATATACCTAAATGTGTTAAATCTCAATTTTTTATCATGTTATTGGCTTACTTATGTAAACATTTGACGAAGAGCTCAAGCAGTTAAGTAAGCCGAAAAAATAATAATTAATTTAGTATGTCTTACGGAAGTTTTTTAATATAAACACATTTTTTTGTTTCAGATAATCATGAAGCCACTCCAATGAGCATGTGAACTGTAGAAAATGTTCTACGACAGTGAAAATGGATTGGGATACAACCATTCTTGCATTAACTGCCACAATGACTCGTACTACCGATACAACTTTACCGATGTGGACGATTTTATATGTGTTTTCCATGACGAGGACGACATTTCAACCAGTATTTTCAAAGTATCTGTGTATGTGATGTACATTACCGTGTTTGTTACTGCACTTGTGGGCAATGGCTTAGTGTGTACGGTAGTGCAAACCACAGCGCGCATGAAGACTGTGACGAACTACTTTATAGTGAACTTGGCTGTGGGTGATATACTAATGACGCTGTTCTGTGTGCCGTTTTCATTTGTACCGACTTTGTTGCTTCGATACTGGCCTTTCGGAGCGTTTATGTGTAAAGCGGTTAACTTTTCGCAAGCAGTGTCCGTGCTAGTTAGTGCTTACACAATGCTGGCGATCTCCATCGATCGGTACATAATTATAATGCACCCGTTGAAGCCACGGCTTAGCAAGACGGCCGCTAAGCTGGTTGTATTTGCTGTGTGGAGTGGGGCGCTGGTCACCGCGGCTCCCATACCGATCGTCTCTAAGCTTCAGAGGCCATCGCTTTGGCATCAGACATGTGAAGTGTATGAATATTTTTTATACATAGAATTTTATTCGTATGTACCTATCTAAGTAATTAAAAAATGATGAGTTTAAAATTAATTATAATTTTTAGAAATATTGTCTCGTATATAAAATGCAATGTTTAACTAATTTTGTATGGTATGTTGTAAAGTGACATTTGTGGAGAGGTATGGTCGAGCACTGAGCAGAGTCGTCAGTACACGTACGCATTGTTGGTGCTGCAGTTTGTCCTGCCACTGAGTGCGCTAGTGTGCACATATACACGGATAGCGCACACAGTATGGGGCGGTCGACCGCCTGGAGAAGCGCAAGACGCCAGAGACTCGCGAATACAACATTCCAAACGAAAGGTATGTATGTGTCTTCTGTTCACAGCATTTCTATGTTATTCGAGATTTACCCAATAAGTATACCTGACGGAAAAAAGACAAGCAGGCGCAGCCAGTTGCCATGAATTGTTTTAATCGAAGCTTACACATTCCTGAGACCTATGGGCTATTTATTTGTATTTGAACATCAGGTAAATGTAAGATATCTTCCCGAAAATTGATTTCCTGATCTAGGTACAGGAAAATAAGATTAAGACCGTTGACACCGTCCGAGCGTGATTTCAAATGTGTTTTGCCGATAAACAACTGATCACACAAACATATTAACTCGTCGAGTACCGGTTTTATAAACACAATTAAAGAACAATAGGTCGCGGTCACCGGTGACCGCTTGGTGTTTGACAGTTTAATTACTAATAATTTTAGGGAATTTACTAATCTAGGAATTGGCTTAGGAAAATATTGCGATTTAGGGAGTATTCGTACAATACATCGAAATAACGGAGGTTTCAGTAATTTCCTTCTAAGCATAATTTTCGAAGTCAAATATAAAGAAAACCACAAACATTGTCATTGTTTGCCTACAGCCGGTGCGGAATAAAATATAAATCCGGTTCCACGAAGTTAGGATTGGAGAATTTAAACCTTATCATTAGTGTTAAGTGAGTTAATAGCAACCTACCCCTTGCTTGTGTCGCGGAGAACCTAACGGGTAACCGGGGCTCCGGCTCGACGTGCAGGAGAAGGAACGGGGTGGTTTTTAGTCAGTAAGAGTCTGACACTCCCTTCCGCCTCACCCAGGCGGGAGCAGTCATTCGATGATTTTCCCCCTTAAAAAAAAAAAAAAAAAAAAAAAAAAAAAAAAAAACCCCCTTGCGTGTATCCAATCCTGTTTAATGTAAATATTTATAAGACTCGTGACAACGCAATAATTTTAATAATCAACTACTGATCAAAAGATATTATGTTTACGAAGATTTGAGCCCAGTAATGTCTAAAAAGGGAACATCCTCTCAAAGTCTCGACCTAGACTATTTTCATTTTACTATTCTATCCGCCGTTAATATTAGTTTTCATGAATTCAATTCATGTATGTATGTAAACTAATATTCAATTCATGTGTGAATTGAATTCATGAATTCAATTCATGTACACCTTTGTCTATAGATAGTTATATAGTTTCTCTAGAGTTTCTACCTATCCTTTAAGACAAATCTTCATTTCTATACTTTTTGAAAGATAAAGATAATTTATTTGCATAAACATGTGTCATTCATACAAAAACACGCAAGATGTTCATTGTTTAAAATCAGTGTCCAATACATGTTTTGCCCTTAGGGACGTACAAATTCAATTTTATGATAATTATAATTCATATTTAAAAAGTTTAAATTTATTATCTTCTATACATATAATGAAATCGTAGAAAAATCAAAACTGTACATTGAATATCATTTTAAAAGAATACTTGGGGCGTGATCTTAAGTCGATACTGAAGCTAAAAATATGGTTTATAGAATTTTTGTCTATTCGTCTGTTTGTCTGTCCGGTCTGTCCAATCCAGTCCCGGATGATCTCAAAAAGTACTATACTCCGTCTGTTTAGGTAGTTAACTATTTGTAAGCAAACCATAAAAAGAGTTCTTTATAGTTGACATTTCCATGATTCAAAATACTTCATAAGAAAATAAAATTGTTTCCCTTTTTACGACAGTTTTCTCAATTAAATGTTGTGTTTCTGTTCCTTTTCACTTATTTCTTAGTAAATATAATATATATCTGCTTGAGGATATTAATTTAATAACATTTATTAAATAATATAATATTTCATTACAATAGACACCATAAAGAGCCTAAAATCCCAGGTATCCAAAACCCTTCTTTAAGAACGAAGCAAAATAATGTTGTCAAATTACAACTAAGATGTAGCGCGACAATGAAAGTAGCGTGTATTACGTTTAGTCGGTTAATCAGGCGCCATTGACAGCTCTCTCGTCGTTTGCGCTCGCGTTCCTATTTTGTTGAATTTATCTTGTTTCTTTGTTTTGTTTTTGTTATTAAGTTATTTAAGTTTAGGTATACATCGTTTGTAATTAATATGTTCAAATATATTAAAGAAACTTGGCCCAAAGGCACATATCCGTACAAGAAAGAAGTCCGTACATCAGATTCAGAATAGTTTCTATTTAAACATGATAATGAAATAGACCCATAGGCTAGGCTCTTGTACGATTTAGGCATTTGTACTTGTATGTGTGTGTATGACAAATGAACGATTTTAAAGTGAATTTAGTTAAAATTAAAACACGAGAAATATTTGAAGTAATAGTAGGTTAAGTATCTCTGTGTCACGTGGTTTTCTTTGTTTACCTTTAGTTAATTACCTAAACAAATGGACTATACATGGATTTACTTCAAATTTTGTACGATTATTACTATCAGGCCGGGTCAACACATAGGCTACATATTATCACGCTATCGCCTACGGGCGCAGTAAATTATTATTCCACGCGAACGAAGTCGCGGACACAGCTAGTTAGTAAATATTTACATTAATACAATGTATACATTGTTAATGGTTTACATTAATACAATGTCAAAAAGTAGTGTTGGTCAGAAAGTTAATCAAACAGTAGTAACACTTTTCAGCTTGTAGGCGTTTCATTTTTATCTTAAACATGTTGGTGTTTAAACACTTATAATCCCGAGGATTTAGTTTCCATCACAGGAGTATGTGATGAGGGCTATTCTTTTGTTGCTCACTAAATGCCGCTAATGAAGTCAACACGTCAAAAATTAACACGTTAAACGCCATGGGGGTCACCGGTGACCGACGTTAGCAGAGGATTTACCTTCAACAGTTTTTTATTTGCAATCAAAGTCTTAAATGTTCAATGGTTTAACACTAAGTACCTAATTTTATATTGGACAAACAACAAAAACGTAGCCCTCGTTGGTTTGGAGCAGTGGTAAACTTAACGAATTGCCGGGGATCCGAAGCAGGAATAGGAACAGGAGACGTGTTTAGTCAGTAAGAATTTGACACTCCTTTGCCCCGGCGCGGCGGCGAGAAGGAGTGTCAAAGAGGTGGGAGAAGTCATTTCATGACTTTTCCCCCCTAACAAGCCCAGATCGGTCATACAAGCCCGTCATATCAAGTTTGATACAAACAAGCACACACAAACACACTCCTGTTCCTACATTCTGAACGTGATTTAATGTCATGCCCGCACGTATATCCTGCATATGATGGCAAACGAGCGCTCGTTTAAAACAAGAGAAACTCCGAAACCGAGTTGGTAACCACAAATTACTTTGTGACTGCGACCTTTGCTCTTCAGTTCACACCAACGGACCTTTTCATGTAAAATAAACATAACAACACAATATAATGTCATTATGGCACTTATTTCCTGAAGTAATATTTCTAAAGTGTCTTTTTTGGGTAAACTGAATTTTTGACTTTGACATAGATGTGGGGAAAGGTGTATTTAGATACATGTAATACATAATTGTAGCCACTTAAATACAACTTAAGTTTGAATAAGAATACTTGAGTCTTTAACATAAAATGGTCGTAGGTAGCTTATTGGGACAATCAATAAACTACTTTTAAATAACCAACTTCAACCTCCTTAAAGTGTAATAAACACGATGCGAGGTCAGCTCGGAGGACACTGTGGAGCATACGGTGGTGGTGTGCATTCTCCGCCTTGACCTCAGGGATGTGATCGACGACGGCGACTTCTCACGTCGGGCTCTAGTTCAGACCATGGTACGGAGCGACGAGAACTAGGATGCCGTTTTTTCCTTCTACGAAGAGGTCATGCTAGTTAAGGAGGAGGTGGGGCGCGTGAGGCAACTCAAAGTCTCACGCACCAGCCGTCACGGATATACTTCGGGCGTGGAGGATCGCGAAATGTTCTCCAGTCACCGTAAGCACGGGCCTGCAGGCGGGCGAGCACGGGTAGCTCGCGCCCGATCAGAACCAGACCCGAGTGTAATAAACACTTTCATAATCGGTTCAGCCAATCGCAAGGTAGTTGGGGACAGACAAATATACATACAAGTGAAACTGAGAACCTTCTTCGTAATTTTTAAATCAGTTAAAAACCCCTAATTTCAATTCTAATTTGCTTATTCTGAAAATCTAACCAGAAAATAAACTTATCTGATAATTAACGAAGTAGTCGTTTTCATAAATCGTGATGATATTTGAATGATCCTATCACATAGTTGCTGAGTCATCAAAACAGATATTTCGAGAATTGGAACTCCTCGAATTAGCTGTTAGGTATATTTTTTTCGATATTTAAATTTTTATGTAACATTTTCATGATGCTGAACGTTAAACGAAAATAGCTCATATAAACTATATGCAATAGCACTTATTATTTCTTGTTATGTTATCGTAAAAGCTAAGTATAGCTTTTATATTAGTCTATTAAGTAATTGCTTACTTCTATGGCATATTACTATTGTTGTTAAGTTACTCTTCATTCTTGAGAACATGAATATGCACCTTTTTTATGCATATACATTATACATAGGTAGGTATAATGCATAACAACAAAAGTGATATAATGTTTTTTCTTATTGTTGATGTAGGTGTACACGCTTTGCGCGTAGGAGTATTTTTTTTTTTTATTTTATTTTATTATTTTATACATGGAACTTAAGACATAATTGATGAAAACGTGAAATTTTTTATCTAACGAGTACACTTCTCCTTATCCCATTTTATAATTACGTACTTTTTGTATGGGTAATCCGGTAAACGAGCAGACAGAAATGATGATAAGCAATCGGCGCCGCCCGAGACACCAGGTAATTAGGAATTTGAGGATTGTTGAGGATTCAGGGAATGGGGGTTATTGGGCCTCCGGTAACTACACTCAAAATACGAAAAACAACGCACTATATTAATATTCTTTTGTTTGCAGATGGTGAAAATGATGTTGACAGTCGTTACAGTATTTATAATGAGCTGGTTGCCCCTCAACATTTTTATAGTAAGTAAAAATATTTTTGACATAACATAACATGCCACTGTACAATGTAACACCCATTTTTCACTATTTATGTTATGAGTCCCATGTAATATGCGGTGCCTATTGCCATATACCGGACACATTTCCAGACAACGTGCTACTACTGAGAATTTTATTTAAAAACCAGTAGTACTTTACCCGACCCGGGAATCGATTCTGAGACTCCTTGCCTTGCAGGTGCAACGACTACGCGACCAACGAGGCTGTTAAATATTTAAGAATTTTACAGTAACAATGTCATAGGTTTTTGGAGTACCTATAATTCAAATGACTTTCGTTTAAAATTTTATTACCTACGTATTACTTAGTACTGCGTTGAAACAGATTAATTCTTAAATCGAAATATAAAAATATTTTGGATAACTCGACAGAATACAAAAGACTTAAGACATGTGTCGACACTTTTGCGTATCTTTTACACGTACAAAATATTGTAAGGAAATTCTATTATACTTTACTTGGTACATATTTGTGTTAGATCTAAGTAGATGATACATACATTTGCCTACATACATGTTATATCAAATTCAAGGTCTTTGTATATTGATAGATATTCAGGAGTAACGTTTTTATTTACCCACATAAGAGTATAAATTATTTCAAGTAGGCGAAGGAATCTGTTAGTACCAAATCAATACACGTGCCGATGTTCAACATTTTCATAATACACGTATTTCTAATACAAATTAATATTGTAAACCCTTTGTTTACTAAAGTTCTAATTACATAATATAACATAACATCACACCTTTTACCCCCGAAAGGGTAGGCAAAGGTGTACATTATGGCACTTGATGCCACTGTACAATGTAACACCCACTTTTCACTATTTATGTTATGAGTCCCATGTAATAGGGGGTGAGCTTATTGCCATATACCGGGCACAGTTCCAGACTCCGTGCTACTATTGAGATTTTCTATAAAAACCCAGTAATACTTTGCCCAACCCGGGAATCGAACCCGAGACGCCTTGTCCGGCTGTCGCACTTGCGACCACTCGTAAATCGAGGTAGTTTATTTATACAAACGATATACGATTGATTTTTAAAGTACTTATAAAGTTCATGGCACCCTACCAGCGCGCCTGCGATACAGCTCTAACCCTCTAAAAACAAAAAAAAAAAAAAAAAAACCCAGCAATGCCATTGTAATTTAAATGTGAACTTTAAATCGTGTGTTGTATGACATATCTCATAAGGTCAATATAAAACTATCTGTAAGCGCACCCCGGCGCGCCGACCGAGTGTTTATAACCTTTTTGTATTGTTTCCAAAGTAAAAAACGCCGTCCCGGAGCCGTGATTGTTAACTGTAGAATGTCTGGACTGCACGGTTGGTGCGGTGGCTGGGCAACCGGCTGCCGTGCAACGTGTCGCGGGTTCGATTCCCGCACGGAACAACTCTTTGTGTGATCCACAAATTGGTGTTCCGGGTCTAGGTGTAATGTGTATGTGAACTTGTATGTTGGTAAACGCACCCACGACACAGGAGAAAATACTAGGGAGGGGCAATGTTTTATTAAAAAAAAAATGTGAGTGTATAACCTTAAAGGTTCAAAATACGAATGATTGATTTTATCAGAAAAGCAATATGACGTGGTCTTTTATTATTAGTGATAGAGAAAACAGTGAATTAAAAACAGTGAAGAAAAACGTGATGAAACCTGGACTTACAATAAATTGTAAATCGCTAAACCACGGTGCAATCATCATCATCAACAGCCTATAAATGCCCACTGCTGAGCAAAGCCTCTTCTCACACGGAGAAGGTTAGAGCATTAATCACCACGCTTGCTCAATGCGGGTTGGCGATTTCAAACTTATAATTAGAAATTATAAGCCCAGGTTTCCTCACGATGTTATTCCTTCACCGTTTGTCAGTGGTGTCTAAATAATCTTAGAAAGTACATGTAACTCGGAAAAAGTCACATTGGTACTTGCCGTTGGTAGGTTTCGAACCCGCACCCTCATGCATGAGAAGCAGGCGTCTTAAACCTCCGAGCCACCACGACAGATCAATCTGTGCAATCATGGTGCTTAATAATCCATTCTTTCTCCGAATAAGACGAGGCCATTGCCCAGCATTCATTGTTAGGGATAGTTTGTATAATTCAATATAAGTAGGTTATGTACAGTTGTAATTGGACTTCTGGTTTAATCACTATCTATAATTAAGATGTCGCCTGTAATAAAATTCTACAGAGTGATATTAAGATTAACATACTAGCTACTTGCATTGTAACATAAGAAATAAATAATAACGAAGTTTCACCGTCTTAGTACTACTTACATCTACTTTACATTTACAAACAATTCAGCATTTAAGGAGATAAAACCTTTTTCAATGAAGTATTGTTTACGCAGTTTGTTATTTTATGAAAGTACCTCTCTAATAGGATTAACAATATAAACAGTGGAAATTATTAGATACATGTTTTTATAATAACTATCGTGAGACATACTAAATTAACTAAAAATCGCGGGTTACTCACATGAATAAACTGAGAAAAGCTCTACTAGTTTCGATCCATAGAGTGAGTAGCAGTGAGTAAGCTGCGCGACGTCGCTGTGACCGTGCACGTTTCTTATGAGGAAGAGCCCCTCTGTGGCTCGAAACTAGTAGAGCTTTTCTCAGTATTTTCACGTGAGTAACCTGCAATTTTAATTAATTACTTGATAGATTTCGAGATGAAACGAGCATTAGTTATTATGTTCTAAGCTTTACTTTAACTTGGTTGGCTGGCAATGCCACCGTACCTACTCAGAAACATTTAATGATTACTTAAGCTATCCCTTAGTAACGATTTTGTTCCAAAAACAATTGCTAAGGACTCAGCAACCATTAAACGACTCTGAGTCGCGGTTAATCCTTTTAGAGCAAATTTGAAAGCTGACTGCGTCATTGCTGGTCGACTGGTCGCTAGTGTAAGTACCTCGCAAAGGATTTGCGATTAGATAGAGAGATAGATTTATATGGAGTAGAAAAGAGCATATTTTATGGTTTACAAAAGTTGTTAGTAGTAAATAGTCGAAAACACACTACATTACGTAATACTAACCTAATTCTACCTTAATGTATAAAATACAGACTTCAACCCCTCTTTTTTGAAGTTGGTTAATTAATATGTTGTAGTTTGTTAATTTGTTATGTAATAGAACCTCCTAAATGTAACAAACACTTTTCTGAAAACCGTATCAAAATCGATTTAGTTAATCGCGAGAATATCGCGCAGAAACATACATACATACAATACATACTGTGTCGTCGTCGCGTTCCGCGCGCGCCTCAAAGACCCATCAGGCCACCACGGATGGGGGTCCAACAAGGCCGATGCCAATTCGGAGTCGCGGTGAACTTAACGGGTTACCGGGGCTCCGGCTCGACGTGCAGGAGAAAGGACGGGTGGGTTTTAGTCAGTAAGAGCCTGACACTCCCTCCCGCTCACCCAGGCGGGAGCAGTCATTCGATGGTTTTCCGCATTTATAAAAATACTAGCTGTTACCCGCGACTTCGTCCGCGTGATATAACGACTTCTGTATAAATTAAGTTTTTTAAATTAATCTTTGTCAAGGTATATTCTACGGCTATACAACTGGAACAAATATCATCACAATCGATTCAGTACCTAGGTTATATTTATTGAGAAATGAATTTATTTTCGTGGTTTCTAAAATAAACAATCCCATAGAGGTTTTACCCGTACAGTGCCCGTCTCGTGAGGTTTCACTATTCTATGTTTGCAAATCAATGTTGTATCGCATTTCAATCAAATAGATATAGTGATTTTAACAGCACAGTTCCCGGTTTCGTGGGTTTTTCGGGTTAAAAACTTTTAGATGTCCTTTCCCGGGTCTCAAACTATCGCTGTACCGAATTTCACCAAATAGGTTCAATGGTTTAAAAGGTAAGAGCCCCTCTTTATTTCAACGTCCTTGGTCCTGGTTTTTTAGCGCATAGTTTCCGTCATTTTGGGATTTCCTCTCTCCTATAATTTGACCTGATATGTACCGGTGCGACGTGCGTTACTATCGCAAACATTTAAATGAAAAAATAGGTATTCTGATATTAGGTTAGTTACATATGATACATGTACTTTAATGTTGATATTAATGTCCTCTATAAGACTTAATACATCCCTTGGCTCTATTGTCCATAATTTCCACAGCGTAATCAATACCAATAATATAAGGAGTTTTTTTGGTAGTTTTTCACACATCGGGTTGTCATTACCTAAAGGAGATTTTTTTGAGGTCGGAAAATCATCCAATCACTTCTCCCGCCTTGGGTTAGGTGAGAGGGAGTGACAGATTCTTACTGACTAAAATCCACTCCGTCCCTACGCCTGCTCGTCGAGCCGGAGTCCCGTCAACTCGTTAGGCCTCCCGCGGCACCGTATCGAGCATCAGCCCTACTGGGCTCCATCTATGATGGTGTCATGGCTCTGTAAGGCGCGCGCCGTATGCACGGGACTGGTTCTGGTCGGGTGGCGAGCTACCCTTGCTCTTCGTCTACAGACCCGCACTTACGGCGGCCGGTGGCCGGCCGATCTCCGACGCCCAGAGTGTCTCCCGCGACGGCTGGGGCGTGAGGAAGTTCATTCCCTCACGCGCTCCGCTTTCTCCTTGGCAAGCATAACTGCTTCGCAGAAGGATGCGACTGCATCCCAATCCCCCTCGCTCCATGGCCTGAACCAGAGCCGAACGCGAGAGGTCACCGTTTCCTACATCCCTGAGAACACGGCGGTGCTCAGCCCATGCAAGGTACACCGCCACGGTATGCTTCACCGTGTTCTCCGGGCGGTCCTTGCATTGATGGCCTCTCTAAAGCCACTTTTAAAGAGGGGACTTTCCGCTGCAATGACAGCGAGCCCAGCCCTCGGTTACCTAAAGGAGTGTTTCGCTGTGTAAGTGAGGTTACCGGAGGCCCAATTACCCCTCCCCCAGCCCCCCCAATCCCTGACAA